CCCTCGATCAGGTGCGCGGTCCGTGCACCTAGGGGGGGCCTGCAGTGAGATGAACCCAGCTTAGCATACGAGTGTCATTGTAGGGTGTTAAGTGATCGGGGAATGTGAAGGCAGGTACCGGTATATTAGGGAGAGGAAAAAAATGCGTGTCCCGTTACGCAGACTATCGGTGCCGGTACAGTATTTGTCCGGTGAAGGAGCTGCGTACCTGGACCTCTTATACATCTGAGGTGGGACTCGGCAATGAGACACGATGGTGTAACCCTGGCTTCGGCTGGATTTGTAATCTCGATGCCATAGAATTACCTTAGTGGTGTGCTCTGCACATAAACAAAAATATCCAGACTTACATCCTAAGTACGGTAATCAAGCACCCCAACTTTCTTCAAGATAAGACCGAAGTATCATACCTTTAGGTGGGGCTTGGTGCTGCACTACCTTAGGGGTAGTATGTAATCAGCATTCAGTAAACAAGCCAAAATCGCGACTGCCGGAGCTAAAAGGCTGGACTGAGTTTCAGTGGACCAAAAGGTACAAGGATTATCACATCTATTTTGGCCCGGGGGGGAAGATAGTGCAGATCAGGCTACCCGGTAAATCCCTTACACTTCTCTTGCGATAGGGTGAGAGTGTGGGAGCATCTGGCTGGGGTGGTTTCCCCGAGGAATTGTGGGCCTTCCTTTCCGCGAATAGAATCGCATCTTCCCCATATTGGAGGCAGATTACCCAACGGACATTTCAGCCACGGTAGATGTGGAGCAGCTTCCAGTCCGGCATCATGCGACTAAAGGCGGTCCAGAAGGCTCCTAATGGGCGGTGGGGGATAAATGAGACGATCCGGTGCAGATCACTGAGCCCTGGTATCTTTTTTCTCTCACTGGGCGCAATACCGGTATCTCGACAACCATTTCACCTGCCGGCCGTCAAGGGGTATGCCCGGGTGTTCCCATGCAGGCGCTGAGGGACACGACAGCGGTAAGTCTTGTACAGGCCCAAGTACAGTATTAGGTAAGGTAGGGGGGTCTAATGTTGTGGGATCAGCTTTACCCTGCAAGATAAGGGAGGGGGGATCTTAGAGCAGAGACCGGTAGTTCCCCGGCCAAGCCAGAGATGTAGCTTACCAATCTCTAACTTAACAAGACAGCTTGATTGAGCGGGGACCCTGGTGGGTGCTTCCTGACCTCCCCTTGATCCAGGCAGTCAGCGCTCTCAGGAAAACCGGAATTACTGCCCACTATTTCTTTGGTTCCGAAGAACCCTAGTTTCCTATCCATCTTATGACCGTACAAGTCCGCATCCCTTTATACCTGCAATCCTCATCATTCCGGCTCACTATCTCGAGTGAACCCCCGGAGGGGTGTGGTATACCGGTGGTCGGAACCTGAAGTCGGATGTAGTAACTTGGGAAGAAGAACTGACACAGAGAATTATATAGCAAGCGATGAGAATTTAGGGAGAGTGAGGGGTAGAAGCAAAGTCCAGCTCCAGATATGAGGATTTCTTGAGTAAGCCTCACGTGCAGAGATCCTTCCACAGGTGTATCCAGTAAAAGCCTCGTCCTGTCCGATCGAGTTTGCAGCATAACATACGTAGACCCAACTCATAAAGGGCAAGAGAGTTTCATATCCTAGAATCCAATTACAAAGTATCCGATCTATGAGGGAGAGTGCTTGCCGTAGCTCCCTTTGGTAAATGTCAAGATAGAGTCCCCCTGGGTGTGCTCCATTCTCGAGCGAACCTACCGGTATATGAGGCAATGCAACAATTCATGAAGGATCACTCGTGTTCCTAGCTTATGTGGATGTGTGGAAGGCCGAAGAAGCTTAATTCTCTACCCACGGGCGGGTTTACATAGACAATCGGGGAGGGAAATGAGGGGGGGGCTAAGAACAGCAATGGAGAGAAACATGGATAGGGGAGCGGAAGTAATGGGGGAGGATGAGGATGGTATTATATGAGAATAGTCCGGAAGCCACGAACGACAGTTGAATGGGGCACAACCGTGAAGTTGACAGAAGAAGTACGGTAAGGAGGTAACTAACCGAAAAACCAATGGTGAGAATACTAGTAACAAAACGGACTAGGTTGGCTTATAACTTACGGCAGGCACAAGTAAAGACTACAGCTACTGTTTAGGACATTGTAATGCCAGTGGCGGATCGCTGCCGGTATTCTCCCACCGGTCGCAGTGGTGAAATTCCCGGTCGTTTCCAATCACCATCACCATCGCAAGCCCCACAATAGGTTTTTTTTGGGAAGCTTGAGGTTTGTTTGTCATCCACCAACCTCTCATCCTCATTCACTCGTCGCATATCATCACCTGTGACACTTTTCACTTGACCACCCATTGGAGAGTCAGCTGGTGGCACAGGTAGCTACCCTGATGTATAGGTGTATAGAGCTTAGGTGCTCCATGAGCAAGAGAGTAGGCTCGGGAGTCATGTATTTCTCCCGTATATAGCCTCGGCCACAGCTAGGAAATATGAATCATCTCATTCCATCTGCCTCCCACACCAAACATGGAGGCCAGGACAACGGCAGAGGGCACATCCGTTTTCGCTCATTCAAATTTATACTATCCCCCCACCGCAATAGCGATTTAAGAACGAACCTAAGGGCAGTGAAGTATATCGATTTATTGTCGCAGAATGAAGGTGCCCCTCTCCATAATGGTGAGAGTCCTGGGAAAAGCCAATGGCTACTAGCCCAATTCACCAAACGAGTCTGGTCAAAGCTACAAGCGCAAGCAAGTGATACCAAGAGCCCACCTCATTATCTCCTAACTTGTGTTTATACAGTACTGTTACCCCGGATAACTCGCTATCCCGGAGGGGTTCTTTGGATTTTGACTATTCAGGACAAGTGGGCGCGGCTGTATTTGAATGTTAACCAGCCCGCCCACGCCTTTAGATCTCTACAAATAAACCATCCCTTGAACGGGAGTTGCTCGAATTGTTCTATCCCTCTCTCTGTGATTTGCTAAACCCGTGACCCGGATTTGCTCTTGGTGATATTCCGTTGAAAAGAGAGGCACCGGGAAGTTATCCTACTTCATTTTGACATATTGATTATCCTTAACCTCTAAGGTAAGGGCTAATACCGACTCTCGGGAAATACCAAAGCAAGGCAACCGATATCATTCCCTACTGACTCCCGCCCGAGAGGAGTTTCCCTCTTGTCGCCCCAACCAGGTGTGACATCAAGCATATACTGTTGTCCACCGGCAGTGCTTATGACAGAATGACAGAAAACAGTCAGTCTAGGACGCCCCCCAAAGCGAACAAAACAGGGGCGGAATTCCCTGTTCTATATACAGGATTCCCATCAGCGGGCAGGCCGAAAATGATACGTAATGCTAAGCCGCCCCCCAGGCCTATAGATCAACACCTGCCGATGGAAAGATCAGTCCTTGTCATTTCGGCCTCTTTTCCCCTGCCCAGAGCTTAGATAAATCATAAAGCACATTGATCTGCACCGTATAGTGCAAGCTCTAGGCCTCAGCTACCGCCAATATATCCTGCCTTATTGTAGGAGCGTCCCAAAAAGCCTCCTTGGTGATTGCGTATAACCTTGTGCAGCTTCAACTGGACAATTCAGGATTGTGGTGGCAATTAAACTGAATCGGGGTTATTCCGACCGATAAGATAGAGCCGGTAGGGATCTGGAGTGCGTGGAAGCTTGAATGAGAAGCCGTGCCCCATCTGGGGTGGAATAGCAGGGACATAAACATTGTGGGATTAACCTCCCGACCTATTTTAGACATTTACCGAAATATTCTGTTCGAATTTTAAGTTGTTGAAAACGGCCACCGCGGGAATTCTATCGGCACGGGAATTGTATTCTCCCGTTCCCGTTTTGCTGGGTATAGTATCGGTTCCCTGAACTTGTTTTTATTGACTATTGATATCGAAACACTCCCTGAGGTCAATCGCCGTTAGTTGCCGCCAGATAAACTTCAGAAACTCATGAGGACTTGCCCTATTGGCGAGCCCACTTAGGATATTGTATTCTCGGGATTGGCCCAAATGCTTTCTCCTTAGTACCTCTCCCCCGCAACTAACTCACTATCTTAGAAGCTGTACGCCAGCACCCGGGATCCAGGTTCGCATTATCTTGGTAGATCCTAACTTGAGAGCCCTACCTATCCCCGGAAAAAATAGAAGCAATGAGATAGGGGGAATGCCCGAAACTCGGGAATCTCATCTCCCTTACGGCCACCTTAAATGAATAACTTGGCCAGCGATCAACTGACCTCCTGTATCATGGGATGTTGGAAGCCGCTGGCATGAGTGCTGTAGGTAAGATTGCTCGGCTTCGGCTCGTATTCTAGAACACCTTCTTGGGATCTGGCTGACGTAGAGAATCGAGTCCACGTGGTCCTTGATTTCCGAAGGCTTACTGTTGGGATTCAGGATGAAAGTACCCCCCATCATCAAGGGTTAGCAGTATAGTGGGTTAATGTGAGCTTCCTTGCCCAAGGCGACTCGGAAGTAAGACATCTCGGTTGGGGAAAGGTGTTCAGAGCCCAAGAGCCGAGAATCCAGCAGACAGCACTGCAGCGTGGCAGAGATCCACAAAGTAGAAGATACACCTGCACTCTCTCACCGGTGTAAGTGATCGGTAGTGATGGGTAGGGACATGGGTCGGATATTCGAAAACGTGCATAAATTATGATTCACATCAAGTTACGCATTTCGAATTTCACCTTTTTCCCCACTACCCGGAACCGAACATCTGAAGAAGAAAAAACGGTAGCATGCACAAATTGAGGCACAGATTGAGATAAACAAAGATACCCCCCCTCCGGAAACCGGCCACAGCGTGCTCTCTCGTTTTCGTTCATTCAATTGTCGCCTTCGGTCGGCCTCTGGCCTCTGTCGGTCTTTCTTTTTTCCATGCAATGTTCAGTTGGGGTCGGGGACATCGCATCCGCCAGCCTCCATTGGATAATCGGGACGTGATTTGATCTAAGACATGGTGCGACAAAGTCCCACGATAGAGATTTTGGAGATCCCCGTTTTGCACTAAAGGGCGGGCCACCGAAAAAATCCCAACCAACCCACCCGATTGGTTGTGAGGCCAAACGTGGTGCAGAGGTACAAAGTACAATGCAAGAAAATAACCCTGCGGTGCGCTGCAACCGGTCACTAAGTAATCCATCGTACCGTACTTGGAAAATCTCACCGAGGGGGCATACCGTACGGTACTGTCCGTAACGGTCCTCGTACATTATGGGATCGCGCACACTTGGGGGCGCTGCGGCTACCGTACTTGTACGTGAATGCCACAATGTCTCGGAAATTCAACTCCCCAAGCCGGGACGCTCCGTGGGATCGAAAGATGTTGGAGATTTCGGGAATCCGGCCGTTCGAGAGGGCGCAACTGTACCGGAGGTGCAGATTGCGCGGGGTGATGTCGTGTGCTGCGCCTTCCCGAGCTTCACCTGAGACGAATCCGAGTGTGCGGCTTGCACCATCCATCCCCGGACCTTAGAGTGTGAGTGACGAGGCATGACCGAGCGTTGGACTCACCTAGGGTTCCCTATGAGAATTGGGAATACAGGCACTCGACATGTGGGAACGGGGGCACGGGACAGAGCAAATTTAGGGTCTGTCTCCGCGGGGATGGTTGATCCTCCAAAATGCCATGACTCCTGGGTTTTATTCTGCTTTGGAGAGGGCTGCATTGGAATCCACGTGCTAGGGAGCATATCCTGAAGCAAGTATAGCCTCGATCCTTGGAGTCGCCTCAACACCTGATCTTACGAATGACTACGCTCCTGTTCTTTCCTCAAGGTGTGATGCAGGACGCGCTCAGAGGGAAGATAGGCTAGATTTTACCGGAAGTGTACAACGTTGTACTAGCATTCCCGAAGCTTTCTTTTTTGCTCAGGGTAAATATATGCAAATGGGTCCGGATAATTTTTTTCAAGGTATCAGATTGGAAGCCCAAAGGTTAAGCCGATTAGTGTGAGGCTTCAAAATTTGTCGTTTTCAATTAGGTACATACAAGAGACAGCGAGCTTCTTAAAAATAAAGGAAAAGAAAGAAAAAAAATGCAGAAAAGGATTTATCAACCGCTCTTTGAATCCCAGGACTCCGACCGTTTTCTTTGCTCTCATCCCAAATCCTCCCGTAAGAAATCTATAACTCCCAAACCCTCCTAGGCCTCTCCTCCTTCGTTTCGTGACTGCTGCCTGTGGGACTCTGCTGCCCATCCCCGAGCACAGGATCCGGGGTCTCCTTCGGGTCTTGGTCATCCTCCCTGTCGGATTCCTGGTCTCCTGAAGTTCGAGCTCGTGTCAATTACTTATTCCCAAGTACCAGCGACGAACACCTTACCCTTCGACGACGATGCTCCATCAATCCCAGCCTTTCGCTTCTGAGCGCGCCTTCGAATCCCCTTGTCCCTATTCCTCCAGCTCTGCTGCCCGGCGTCTCGTATCAAACGGTCCAACTGATCGGGGTCTGAAGGCTTCCCTCGTCTAATCATTGCGTAGAATTTATCCGAAATCTCGTTCCTGATGCTTTGGTCCACGTTTATCCAACGTTTCCCAGGAACCTCCCAATAGTCTCGGTACACGGCCTGAGAAGATGGACGTTTCTCTCAGCAAGTAAAAGGGAAGAGTGGGGGAGAGGAGGGGGGGGGGGAGGAAGAAGCGCTTCCTCCCCTAGAGCTCACTCACCTGAATATCCGTAGACGTGACGCCGCCACCGATGAAAGTTGCGAGCTCTTCGAAGGCATTAGCTGTCTTCTTTTTCTCTGCCATTTGGTATGTTGTGGTGCCGACGAGGTGCGGGGCGTAAAAAAGATCTGAAAGCCGAGCTACAGTCACACAAAGCTGGCCACCAGAGCAGAGCAGTGTTATGGGAAAATCTGCATGTCTCACACCGACAGACGAACTCACAGGATCATCATTTGTTCTCAGAAGTATCAGGATGATGATAAGTACGCCGCCGTTGCACATATATATTGCCAGGCGCTATAGGTAGGTAGTCCACGGGTTTTTTATGATATTACCGTGTCACTTGGTCTCCTGTGTCAACCCAAACCTTCCTTACTTCACAACCCGTGCTCTACAGTGCCGTAGGAAGCTAAGGTAAAGGTACCGAGAATGTGTATGAACGGATTGATTGAACGACATGACACCGGAACCATCCCGCACGCCCATTCCCGCTAGAAAGGGAAAGAAAGGGAAAGAAAACCCACTAAAAAGAAAAAAAAAAACTCTTTTACAATCTGGCTGACTTACACTACACACTTCACTCCAGCAGCGAAGGGAAGGCAATGAAAGGGCCCCCTCCAAGAAGAAGCAAGAAGCAGAATATCCCTTCCCACAGCCTCACGCATAGCCTTGCACCGGTATATATGGCAATAACTTACAGTCTAACCCCAGAAAGCAACTCTGATCATAAGAAGACGTTTTAAAAGTGGAGGAATGGGGATAGAGTAAAAAAGCAAAAACGGAGCGCGGTAAGAAAAGAAAGTAATTATCATACCGGTAATTTCAATGATGGTAATAAGAAGGATAATAATGATGGTGATAATTATAATAAACCTCCCGGGAGCATAAACTAGAGAGTACTGTGGAATGAGGGCAAGTAGCTAAGGTAATTAACTTAGTGCGAATACACAAGCACCCGGGGAGTAGTTTTCCCACGAGCCAGGGATTATTCTGCAGGTTAACCTAAATTAACTGCTCACTAACTTTCAACCAGGAACTTGTACCCGCACTAGTAGTACTTGTATATGAAAACTATAGTAAGTAAGTTAAACTTATCATGCAGCATGGCGTTCACTTCGCCCATCCTCCCATGCCCCCCTACCCCCTGCCCCCTGCCCTATCCCTCTCAGATGAAACAGCGTCGTTCTGGAAAACCGAAAATCAATCTTATTTGTTCTCGTAGCAGGAAAGAAGTATTGGACAACAGGGATCGTGAACTTGTTGTGGGCGCTCAGATACGCACGGATTTTTTGCAATATATTCCGCGAATCCCTGTTTTCGGGTGCTTCTTGCCCGCTACCAGTAAGAAGTCGTAGAAATTGGCCCCGGTGCGAAGTCCTGATCTTGAACATAGGGCAACTCATTGATTGCTCCGGACGAGAGAGCGAGGGAACGGAGAAGAGAAGGGAGGGAGGGAGGAATGCCCTTTTTGCTCTTTTTTTTTTTCCAGACAAAGGAGAGCACGGCGTAAAAAAGAAAAGAAAAAAAAGCAAAGATGCCTAAATTTGCTTGTACTCGGGTGCATTTTTTCGGACAAACCTTTTTTGACGGAAATTTACTCAAAGTGCGATATCTGGAGGGAAGAGAAGTACCGTATGATACATAACGCGACATCACACGACACGATATTAGCACTGCACAGCGCAGTAGTCTGGCGCAGGGACAAAACTACCGCAACTACAAGCATAGACCACCAAATCGCCACTCTACCAGCTTCTACCCAGCGTTCAATTGCAAGTACAGCAAAAACCGGATTCAAGCACGAGCAAAGTTGTCATATCGCAGACACCCAACCGCCGCAAAATATGCCCAAGTACCAGTGTGGAGGAGTTCCAGAAACAGGAGAGTAACTTCCCACAATTCATGTCAATTATGTGGTTTCGTTTAGTTTACCCCTTAACATGTGGCTACATAAAGTGCAGTGACCCATGCCAGGTGGAAGACGACAAGGGGGGAGGTGTGAGCGTGGAAGTCCGAAGGTAAGGGGCGGTGGAAGGGGGGGGCATATAATACCACACCTTACGCACCTTAGAAAAAAACGGTTTTTATAGATCTTTATTGGAACTATCGCGCCCTTTCCAGCTTAACTTATCTTGACCTACTATATCATGCCATACCGTTAGGGCAAGTAATTACAACTACGAGGAAACTCCCGGATGCACTCCTACAGCGGCATCCTCCCGCAAGCCAGCCCACCCAGCTGAGCCTGATAAGCTTAGCCAAATAAGAAGCGGAACAGATGCAATTCGTGCTTCCCGGGTGGAACTTTTTTTTTTTCAATATATCAATCCGCATTTTGCGGTCCGTGTCCAAGCGAGCGACCAGCGATTCGCATGGGATACGGGTGAGTGAGATGGTAAGTTACAACAGTCCTGAACGTAAGCCGAGAACGAACGATGGATGCGGTTGTTGAGTTAAGTTTAGTTGGTGGGCGGGCCGGAACCTCGCTGGCTAGGGCTCTGTTCGGTAGCGGATCCCGGTGCGCCTGCTCCCGAGTTGGGAGTCGGATATAGCGGTAGTTGATTGGACAGGATTTCTGATGTTCGTGACTAGTATGAGGCAATTTTGGCTTAAGCAGCATGGCATGGCAGACATGTACCATACTCTGAGGGGAAGCGAAGGGGGATAATCGATGATGTGGTACAGGGGATAGTGTTGTGGCTGTAGGAAAAAGAGGAAAATTATACCTGGAACGGTAATTTCTTGATTTTCTTTGCCTCCCCTCTCTGCCCCAAGGACATCGATCAAACGAGTGGTGGCGGTGAGCTTTAGGAAATAAAGTATCCACCAGTAGTATATCGCCGCATCACGGCCAATTAGGGAGGTATGAGACGGTAAAGGCTTGAGCAGGATGGCGACCTTTACCTGTGATATCTCAAGGGCCCATAATTGTCCGGTTTTAAGTATGAGTGAGACAATAGCCTTCGGGATGCGTTTCCAATTGAGTCCGTCTCGTGACCATTCACGGATTCTCGGGAGCAAATATCTGTTGCTCGGATTTGTCCAAGTTCGGCAACGCCATCATCCCCACTCTCTAATACTCATACAGCACATGCGCTTCCTTCAACAGAGAGGCACCCGGTATCAGGTTACAGTACTTCACGGGGTCTCGGTGGGTCGCGATTTCCTCTTTACAAGCCCAAACCGCAATTCTCACCGCGACCTGGCCCCATTTTCCCCATTTTCATCGGCAAGCGAAACTCCCCGGCAGGTGTTGAATGGTTCCTGCCAGCCTGAGCCATCGATAGCCGTACAAGTGTATTCATGTTCCAGTAAGATAGCAGACAACAGCACCGCAAGGGGGAGCCTGTACGGTGACGCCGCCGAACTCCACACCAGGTATCCCCGATTATCTCTAACCCGCCGTAAGAGCACGAATGGAATTGGCCACTTCAGGGTTGACAAATCCCTATGATGACGGTCGCAATTCCATGCATGAACATATACTCATCAGGGTGGAATCCACGCCCGGTCGTTTTTGTGAGCGCCTCTCCCCCATTCCTAAATCCCTTGAGGTCAAAAGTGTTTCAGCTTATCGCATTGGGACGGAGAAAGCGGAGGCAATAAAGCTTACAAAGGGCTCTTGTCAAGATCGGAATGCAGCATTTGCTATCCAAGTAACCTAGCCAAAGGCCAAGTCATGGTGGCTCCAGCGGACGTCCTCCACCATTCTGATTGGGCCAAGCATTGAACCCCGGTCGAAAAATATGTATTATCCTGCCGCCCGTCATCCAACCAGAATCACCAAGTACGGTATGCCTGTGAAGCGAACATACTAGTCGAAGTTCGATACCGCTTCCACGGTGAAATAATCGTACCCCAAAATTTTGACCCCGCAAGCTCCCACGCATGCAAGCTTTTCGTGGGTCGGCAGGTTCGCCGGGATTAATTTAATACCGGTGGTTGGGTTGTGTTCATGATATTACATCCCGAAGGTGCCTCCATGGCCAACGAGCGCAACGATCGCCGACATCTAGATAACCCTCGTGAGCAATGTCGTTGGTCCGTGTGTGCCAGGGAACAAATATTGTCTTCCACACTCCATTAGTAAGATAGTAAGTCGGGATCGAGGGACCTGATATGGGACGACGGGCTACGAGTACTTGTACTTGTACCGTACCCGCACTGTGCTCGAATAAGCCGTTACCGGTTATCGAACGGGAGCGCGAGAAAGCGTTTTCAGACAGCCTCGTTACCCCATAGTACCGGTATCCATCATGGCATGTAGTGCCGGTCGAATGAGACAAGCTTACTCAGAAGCTAAATTGTCTAAAAAAAATTGAGAGTACTCGAGTAGAGTTCTGACTGTTATCCCGGTGGAAGTCGCGCTACCAACGCCACCCCGCCAAATCCCATGCTTGAGGCCGAATCAAGAAGTCCGGGGTCTAAAACCAACCCTTTTCCACGGCCCAGGGGCTCTTCAACTGACGTGAAAGCCCTGCTGTTGATGCATGCATGCAGTGCTGTCTCGAGGCGTCAGGTAAGAAAAAAAAAAGAAAAAAAAGCAACTACAACACATAAAAGAATTGCATAATGTTCACTGGACTCCGACACCGCGCGGTGCCGGGCATAACGATCTGGAGAGATGATGACCGAGTATTTCAGGCTGCAGAGAGGAGAAACCCCGACAACCATCGGGATGGCTCGCTGTCGAAATTCACAGCCATTCCGCATCCAAAAACTGGGCCCCACCGCAGCATCGTCGGGTAGGACACTGGGAACTCCTTCACCTCACCACCCAGCAAGCAGAGTGTCCTAGGGTAGAGAGGTTCAATGGGTTGCTTCTGGTCCAAGCGCCCTGGCCTGGATCTCGCCGGGGAGCTTGGATTGGGTGGGACGCTGCTTGTGCTGAAAGCACCGGGCCCTATCTAGGTTTAGCTGAGCACACAGGGAGGTATGATGTGTGGTTGCGCTCTATGCGAGAGGGCAATGAGCAAATCTGATTGCCTCTGCCACGATTGCAGTTTCGGGCAGGTGGGCAAAGGTTGCTAGATACCACACGGCACGTGAGGATCCCCGTTTCTTTCCAGGGGTGTGGTCCTAGATCTTGGGTATGTTAGCTTACTCGGCAAGTGGAAATAGAGAGGATTGTTGTCCTTTAAAGCTTGGGTGTTTTAATATTCCTCTTGCCGCGAGTAGGACCGACTTGACACACCACGCCCGTCCCCGGCCGACGCTCGACGCTCGACCCTTCCTCCCGCCGCGACGTGCTATAGCAATGGCATCCGGAGGGATCCTCGAGCCTTTGGGCTGCCGCTAGGATATCTCTTAATTTTGAAATCTGTAGTACCGTACACATCTCCCTCAATTCACGGTAAGCCTCTAGCATGTAAGTTCTATGGCCTCACTTGTGCTCACCCCCCAATCTCCTTACTAAGGGCCCCTCGTAGCTCTAGCCAATGATTAGGGCCCCTGGAGCTAAAACAGACCACGGTTCAGATCATCTATGGTCACTCGCTATTTGAACCCATTTGCCCAGGGAAACTCTTCGCCCATCATACAGGTTTTCCCCAAGTGAGTGGGTTTTTTACTAGGAATAGTCAGCTGGCGGATTCCGGGGAGAAGATGGATCAAACCCTGATAAATATCCTACTCGTTTGTTGTTGGTGCCGCCGTGATCGCCTCGATAAGTAACTCTGCGTAGCGTTCCTCAGATCCCTAAGTCGTCTGGGCGATAGGTGCAAGAAGTGCAGAATTGTGATGGCGATTGAGTCCCAGGATGCGCCATCCCAGTACCCGCATGATGAGTATCAATTTAGTGTAAACGCCCGCCAAAGCTAGTGCTGTGCAAGTCCATTGCCTGGCTGTAGTTTGAAAGTGGGTACGTTGGACCCGGTTTGTCTTGCATTCGCTTACTTGAAGGATACCTGCCCCCGCTGTCACAGCCAGGGGCCAAGACATGCCCAAGACAAATGGTATAGCTCTAATTGGAGCCGTAACGAGTTAATCGCCCATCCCATGACACCGGTATCTTCAGGCTTGTAGGCCACCTTCCCACTGGACAGCCGGAATCCTGAGTACTGTACAGTACTTACTGTTCCTCCATTTATTTGTGTCCTCAAATGAGTCAGTAGCCCAACTATTAATCCCAGTGAGTCCTCGGCCAGGTGTGGTCTCCCGACAGCCCCTATTATTATTAAAAGAAGAGGGTCGCCAGCCTCGCTGCGCTCGGGGAACAACTATGATTTTGAGAGGTTCAAACATCCTCGATGCGGAAAATGTGGCAAAACGAAACGAGAAAGGGGCTTGGGAAAGAATATCGAAGACTTCTTTACGTAGGGTACGTTTGAAGAGTGACGATCCATGATGCCAGTGCACGGCACAGTACCGGTGCGCTCTTATCTAGGGAACTCGGTGAATATGGCTGAAGAGAGTATAGATTCAATGGCGAGTTTTCTTTTATTTTTGAATCCTCAAGTGAATTTTTGATGTTGCTCGGCGGCTTGAGATTGCCTTTGTACAATTTATCACTCGGATTTGGCCCGTTTGGTTATTGTAAATTGAGCGACGGGAGTGCGAAGTATCAGAACAGTGATGGTGGTGCGCTATTGCCAACTTTTCGGATATAAATTCTATTCACCAGCGCCACGCTTCCAGGCCAAAAATACCAAACGCATGATATAAGTACAAACGCGCCACAATTTAAGGCATAAAGAGCAGGCAGTATCGGGGAAAGCATGCAGTCCATACCAAGCGAACAAAAGATGAAAGACACAAAAGGAAATTAGGAGCGGGCTTATCCTTGCAATTTTTCATTAACACACAGCCGATACTATGCCTTGCTACCAAGCCTTCGGCCTCTGGTCATGCCCTCCTTGCAGTCACTGCAGTACCATTTTGCTGTCACACCCGAGTCAGCACATGTTCTAGAACAATACCAAACCAGGATAGGATTGGATATACTTTTGCCCCTGGGCGCCTGGGAGAGCCCTACACAAGCAAGATGGAACCATTCCCTTGGACAATTCTCTCCGTCACAGGCCACCATTTCACCGTATGAGATTTGCTGGCAATAGCAATAGACTGGCTCATCCTCATCAGCATCTTCCTCCGCATCCGCATCCGCATCGTCCTCTGCTGCTGGTGGCTCCTCCGGTTCCTCTACCTTCATTTTGGCGCTGCTCATAGCAGCAGCAGAAGAATCAGCACGTTTGCGCTGCTGTCGTTTGTTGGATGAAGGAGTTGGCACGGCGGCAGATGGGACACCATCTGACGTTGATGGGCGAGTCTTGACAAATGAAGATGATGGCGCGTGGTGAGACTTGTTCTTCTCTTCGGTGATCGTTGGGGGAGCAGATGATGGGACGTTATCGTGGTCGTCGTGGGCGACTCGTTTGCGCTTCTTTTCTTTCTCGCCAGCCTCAGAGGGCCTCTTCTCTAAATCTTTTCTCGATAATTCCTCCTGGCGGGACACCTCCTCCGTTGTATCAGCTACGACTGGTTCCTTCTTCTTCTTGTTGGGCTTCTCCGAAGGCTCGCTAACTGTGGAGCCGTTCTTTGGCACCCCTAATTCTGCTGGTGGGAACATAGGGGTCTTTTCGCTCGTGCCTGACATGACAACATCTTCACCTGCGACATCTTTCACGTCCTCCGCAGGCTTTCCGACAAGGGCAGGAGTACCTGGGGTAGATATAGTAAGTTTACCTTCTTTCCCTAGAGCGCCTCCGGAAGCCCGTTTGCTTTCATCCTTAGCGGTCCCCTTCTCCATCTCCTTCTCTTTGTCTTTGTCTTTATCCTTATCTTTATCCTTATCCTTCTTCCCAGGCTTACCGCCACTGGATGATTTGACAGGTTCGGGAGGCCGAGAGAATGAGTTATCAAGTTGTTTGTCTGAGGGTTTCCCGATCGTGTTTGAAATAACTTCTTTTCCAAACCCCGCAGAAGTGGGGAAGGCTGAGTAGGTTGGCGAGGATGCAAGGTTAGGCGATGCCGCGGGTCCGCCCGGGTTCCTACTAAAACCAGATCGTCAGCCGCTCATCCTATTTCGGAACATCCCGTCGCGTGATGTAGCGCGATTACAGAGAAAAAAAACCCCCCGGATTCCAAAACATCAGACAAGATGAGATAGGGGAGAGGGGAACAAAATAGCAATCGGCCAACAAAAAAAAGGGAAAGTCAAATAATAATAAAAATAAAAATAAAGAAGAGCTTCAATGCAATCAACAGAAGCAGAAAATCAGGAAATAAAACTTCGGCAAAGATCCAAATAAAATGACAAAAACCAGGCTGACATAAGGGGGTCAAAAGTGAGGCTGAGGTCCGTGCGCGTTCTTGTAGAGCCACCCCTTAAACACTATAAAAGCTGCCTTGGCCCAGTTTAAATTATACAGAAGAAAAGAACTCCTCCAAGACGCCCTAACAACCACAACTCCCTAACAAAAGCATAATAATACATGAACTATAGATTAGGCATAAGACTGGTGGGGGATCGCATGCTTCTGTGTGAAAGAAGATAAATAAAGAAAGCACTGAAAGCATCTCCGGGTACTGCCTGGCCACTGAACCATAGAGTACATGTAAAGAAGGATACAGTAAATGGAAGGGAGATCAGTGAGAAATGAGGAAATAATTACCTTCGCCCTCCCCTGCCCCCACCGACCGTAGTACCTGACTTGCCCCCCCTCTTACTTCCAGCGGACGGCGTCCCTAGCCTAGGACTAGAAATAGCTTTGGCCGCTAGCTCCACAGTGGGTGGTTTATCACCCGCTGTTGCGTTCGGAGCTGTAGCTAAGCCTGGTCCCTCCTTTGTATTATTATTATTGGTAGTTTTTCGCCGTTTTGGTTGTTGAGGAGGTACCGCAGGACTGGACGCTGGAACCATCCCACCGGTTCCAGTCGCGGACTGATGTTCTGCCATACGTTTTGCCGAGGCCAGGGCTTCTTGCTCCTTCCGAATCTTAGAGTTACCATGAAGCTTCTTGGCAGGCTGGGTCTGCTGAACGTTCTGTTCTCGTGTAGATTGTTCCTCTTCGTCGTTTAGGGCGGCAGCGGCAGCGGCAGCGGCAGCAGCTGCTTTCTGTCTTGCAAGTGCTTCGCGCCTTGTTTCTGAGCGAGTATTAGAGGTTTCTATCTCCCGTTGTTGTTGATTATGCCGTTCCTCCGCCTCCCTCTGTGCTCTCTCAGCAGCTCTAGCCTGTGCCGCAAGTGCCCCCTTCTTGACTGGATCCTTGTATGCCCAGTGCTCTGTGCTTCCCAGGCGATACGTGTCTGGAATTTCCATCTGCACATACCCGAAGGTATGCTCGATTCGTTGAAGATGCTTTTGTAACGCCTCATTCGCAGTAGTAATGACGTGAATTTTCTCATCCTGGGTCTTGAGAAGATCTGAGATCTGCGCCCGTATTTGTGCACATCTCGCTCGCCGCGTCTCCGGGTGCCCAAGGATTGTTTTTGACCCCGGACCCTCGCTAGCCTGCATCGTCTCTAGGTGGTGAAGTGTCTCCAACTGCTCTGCATCAGCAGTGAAGTCATCTCTTCGCTGCTGTAGTCCTTCAAGGGCCTTTAACGCCTCGATTGCAGGATCAAGCTCGTACGGATCTTCCGGGGCAGGCAGCGACTTGGCAGACTCAATCAACGCTCGTAGGTTAGTTTCTGGCCCGCAAGCTTTCGCATCAACTTCGCGGAGCAGTGTGAAATGTCGTATCGTCTCGGATGGTAAAGCATCTATTGCATCGGTAAATTGTGAAAGGGCGGGGTAGAATTTCGCAGGAGGCGCGTTTGAGGGTGGACTCTGGCCGTTTACCCCGTTTGCTGCTCCTCGGCCTAATTTGGAGTTCGAGGCGTTCTTCCGGATAGCGCGGGCTTGACGCATAGGTTGTCTACGTGATGTAGTCGAGGGTCCGGTAGCCGTTGGAGCTGGGGGAATAGCTGGTTTAGATGCCATGGTGAAGTTTGTTTATGAATCGCCGCCGGGAGCGGTTCAGGGGATCTGGCGAGGGCGTGGGTGCGTGGCTGAGATCAGTGGTTCACCAAATAGACAGAGCGAGATAAATCTCGGTATCTTCGAAGGAGGCTTTCGAGGAAGGGCTGGGGGTGATCGAAACTGTGGAAAACAGGGCGAGGGAGGATTAAGAAATACATAGGCATTACAAGATCGCCCAGAGCGGGAGTTTTGGGAGGCCGAGGTTACCCGGTCGCCAAGACGTTAACACGCAGAGCCGCACTGCTCCCATGCTTGAATGGTATGACAACCCAGGGCTGCTCAGGGTTCTACCCCCTGATTCCAGAGTACTGTCAAAGGGCTAGCACAAGTGCAGTAGTAAAACATGCAGGGCAGGATAGGAGGTCCTAGATCTCATCCAAGAGTATATTGGGTTTGCTGGCGTCCGGGTTGGTGATCCCACTGGAACTTGGGGGAGAAAAATAACTCGGGGGGTATTTAGCACATCAGAGCTTGTAAGGTAATACCTTACAAACCGCGGTTTACAAGGTATGATACACCAAACTGCAGGGTATAATGCAGAAAAATTCTATGCTACAAATCATGTGCAGCCAAACACCCCCTTGCCTCGAAGCCGCTCTAAATTCGTTGGCCACGGCGGGCAGAGAGTAAATTTGTGATATCTTGCGAGGCCCTCAACATGCCTGAGGTCCCGGCAAAATCATAGTCATGAATGGTAGTTTGAGAATCAACTCTGGCCTCTACTCCTTAGCACTCAAGTGATAATATGTGGCTAAAGAAACCTTGGAGTGCAAATACCAATATTGTTTGAATGTTTGGAAAACACTCTGATATTAAATCCTGGAGGCGGTATTATGCCATACCATAACATTGATTCCTTACTCTACTTCCATAATGGCGTTTTGAGCGATGGCCACGCTCACCGTGGCTATTAATGATGGAAATTTGCTGCAGGCGGCACTACAAGTTCCAGAAAGCCCCACCATCCCCGTACAGCCGGTATTGCAAAGATATCTGATTATTTTCGAAGCCGTGGCTCCCCGAGGCGCCCAAGCCCTACAGCTCCCGATGCAACAAACAACATATTAGGCTTTCTGGGAGGGAACAACTGATACAATTTTTCTAACTACGATTAGATTTTGGCGCTTGATACAAATACGATGCTTACCTCACACGGAAGAGAAACGGTTGACTGCTATTAGGTTCGGTAGTGGAGCCAAGAGGTTAGCCGCGCCTACTATTAAAATTACATATGCGGGATGCGAGGTGGACCTAGTTTAAAATGTTAGATTACCAAAGCTTCTCGAATCGCTTCAGATAAGTTTGAGGATCTACTGGGAGCCAGCCTAGAGAGATCTAATTAGATGATAGAAGCTCCGGACTCCTTCTCTAGGGTGCAAGTTCTGGTCGCTGGCTTTCGGACGGCCTCTCATTTGCTCTAGGGTGTATGTATTTTTTGTCCAAAGGACACCACCAGTTCCCATTCTCTGAGTGCGGTACTGCCAGGGAGAGGGCGGTATCTTTTTTCAGGTAAAGGGTCCCTATAAAGCCATTGAGAGGCTGGATGTAGCTAAAGCTCTTCGATTTAGGTAGTTCTATCAGAATCAATCAAGCTGAAGATGTTGTCCATTTTGCATTTTGTTGTTCGGGAGGAAAGCAAGACAGAAGCAGAGCCAAGCCGAAGAAGTGGAAAGCAAACAAGGACCATGAGTCCTCCTTCAGGTACTAAAAGTATATACTGGAATGTATATGTGATCCCTACCATCGGCATTCATTCACAAACTCCAGCAACCCATCCAGTACAGAGCTCCAGGTGTGGAATCTATCATGTAGACTCCCATTCCCACACTCCTGATTCTATTTTTGAATGCCTCTTGACATTTCCTGACAAAAGCCAAAAATATAGAAATTCACTCTTATTCTGAAAGGAACCCAAAAAGGAATGAGAAGTTAAAGACGCTCTATTCAGACGATTTACAACATTCTGTGGCTCTATGGTGGCGGCCATACCAGAGTGGATGGATAAGTGGTAGTGCTTCATCCGAATCCTACGATGTTCGATTACTGACTTAGCTTACTTATGTAGAAATGTGGGGGGAACCTCAGAGGGCAGGAGCAAATGCGAAGTGTAGGATTTGAAATACAATTTGTGTTGCTCAAATGCCAACGCCTGCTAGATATTCGAGGTTAGAAGGGTGTTTGGGAGGATACCGGCACTATATAATAGTCGGCGGTCAATTATGGTGCGCTTTCGCCAAGTGTGGGGAAATTTGTCCCGGATTGCGGATTGCGGGACCATCTCCAATCGAGCTACATATCAAGTTGAAAGGTGATTAGTGCATTTTGGCTTGCTCGGTCCCACCGTCCCGCCCTCCGAGAGTTCTAAAAGCTCCCGCCCTTTCGTGTATTACCTGTGCCGAGTTAACACAGGGTCCGGTGTGTTCCACGGCGGTAAAGATCCCTGAAGGGCTGCAGTCGGAGACTTGAGATCAGGTAAATGACTAAAGTACTGGAGACTCCGTCTAATAAGGGGATTGATGGCGCTTTCTGGGCCCCAGCGCACTTGGTACTGATTCGCATGATGGCTTACTGTGGGACTTTAAAGCAAGTCCCGCATCACAAGGTCAAGAGATATAAAAGGAATCCTTATATATTCCCCACTGGATTACTTCTTGAGACCCGAGATCCATTATTCCACGTTGCCACCACCGCCCCGAAATGACTTGGGGGTGGCGTTAGCCCAACCGGCTGGATTTTACACCCACTTTGCTCAACTCTGTTGGAAGCTTGTCTTCCCCTTGTTGCCTCAACCTGGTAGGGCTCTCACAGGATATTTATGATGCACTACATTGAGGGTACAAACATACTAGCATCGGCCCCTCGAGACCTCGAGGTATCCGAAAATTCTGTTGCTTTCGCCCGAGACTTTCTGCCCAATTCTAGTCCTATGGGCAAATTCAGATCTCGCCGGAAGCTCTCGTTGTTTTGACCAAGCCACAGGTATTTGTTGATTCCCTTATGCACTTCTCCCCCCCCCCCCCTTCTGCCTGGTCAGCGAAGATCCTGGGCGATAAGTCATCAGATTAGATGTGTCATCAGGTGGCTGGATCACACTTTTTAGAGTCTTTGTCCGTGCATAATTATTAATAGTATTGATAATTAATAATAATAAGACCCAAGCACTACCCCAATAGACTAGGAAACAATTAGATAGGAAGCGAGTTGCCTTCTCTCAAGATTAGATTCGAAATTTCGTTAATTATAAATATCCCGTAAGAACAATTGGGTGCTGGCGAAACATGAGAGTGCCGGCCGGTATAGTATTGAGCTTAAGTGTTATTGCTCGGGGAGGCGTAACATCTTGGTCGCTACCGGAGCTTTGGGCGGGAGCGGCTGTATGTATTTAACGCACCATTTAGTCTGCTCCTCAGCGAGATATTTGGTTACTCTTCCTTATGGAATCCAGCACATCTCATCCCTCTCCTTTCTAAACTTACCTCACCATAAATATGCAGGACGCAATCACCGAACCCTACAAATATCATTCCAGTGGACGGCCTCTAAAAGTTGATATCGCCCTCCCACCAAACCATTCTTCCAATGAGAAATACCAAACGCTTATATGCTATCACGGGGGTGGTCTTGTTTGCGGTAGTCGATACACATATATCCCCTCCTATCTGGCAGACAAGATGCGCGGGTTGGGTTGGATCATTATTTTTCCAGACTACCAACTCCTGCCTGAAGCTACCGGTTGGGATATCCGACAAGACGTGCTTGACCTTGAGCAATGGATCCTGAGAGAGCAGGATACATGGGGAATTGACGTTGATAAGATTGCCCTGAGTGGCGCAAGCGCTGGTGAGCAACTCGTTCTCAGAACATCTACCCTTCGATCGTGATGTTAACATTCATTAGGCGGGTACCTCGGCGCCCTTACTGGGATTACATGGAAGACCATCAAACCGCAAGCTTTCGCCAGTGTCTACGGAATGGTGGACATTACCAGCGACTGGTACTGCACAAAGAAGCAACCGGGGCTCACGATCATGGAAGTTCCAGTCGACACGATCCAAGAGGCAGAGTATCAGAAATACTACGAGAATGATCGGGAAGTTGTCTGGGATGACCGCTTAATCAAAGAAGATAGAGGGCCGATATTCATGTTATTTCTTCGAGAAGGTAAACTTTGATCTCTCTTTTGTAAATTCAGTCCCTTGAGAGCCCCATCTTACCGGTCACCCTAGGGATCTACCCGAAAATGATCTACGGTCGCCTACCGGGCAAGAATAGCGGTGGGAGCTTGGACGAATCGTATCTTCAGCCATTGAACCGCATTGGTGCCTCTTTCCCGAAAACAATTGCGATACACGGAGATCAAGACTCAGCCGTTAAGATCTCAGACTCATATAACCTCGTCGATGGGGTTAGCAAGGCTGGAATCAAAAGCGAGATGCTTGAGATTAAGGGCGCGGAACACGGGCTGATGCCCGAAGCTGCGCATGATCAAGAGTGGAACCATGTAGTAGACTTTTTGCAGAATGCTACAAAGACTTAGGGTTGACCCAGTATCTAGACTTAAAGGCTTGTTGAAGAGATGAGAATATATTGAGCTTCACTACTTTTCTTTTTCGGAGGCTCTATACCAGATATCGTGTAATTAGGTATTTCAGCCATTGCCTCCCAAGCAATGACCCTCAGCCTACATTGTTCTTCGGCCGCAATACCCCATACATTGCCCTCCTTGTGGGATCTCCCTGTAGGATTCAATTCCCGGTTCCCTTTCAGTGTAGGGACTGAAAATTAAACTGCAGCTGCCACAGCCCCGGAGAACCTGCCTTGCGGAAAATTAGTCTTCACTTGGAGCTTTGGCGTAGGAGGTGGGGAGTGTAATCGCCGATCGTCGACATGGAGAGATAATGGTGAGCCCAGTGTATTCGGATTTCGAAATCGGTTCTGGGGGTTCAGTTTGGGGGAAACGTGATGAGGCGGTAAGTTACCGATACGTAGGGTATGGTTCTGGTGGCGGTGGAAGCCGCGTTCATTTTTTTGTTTCCGCAGGGGCCTGGCTGAGCTCACGGCGAGGATTATTACCATAACTAGTTCCGGGTTCCCGCTCGCAATGCGCCGGCATTGTACTGTATCTATATTGGTCCTTGAGACAAGATACCGGTGCGGTACTAAGGAATCAAAGAATTTTGTACTATACCTTTCTGGGGCTCGGTTCCCTATTCTAAGCCGGAGTAGTATCTTCCTGTTATCACGGCTGCCGACGAATTTTTGGGATCTCCTCAAGGATTAGTTCTAAAGCTTTAACCTAGACACTTTCGGCCATGGTGGCAGAAAGAGGTCCTATGGGGGAGTACGCTACAGTTCTGATATACTAGCGCCGGTATGAGTGAAATATTTGTGTGGAGGTGTGATGGATAGGATGTTGGTAAAGATGTTCGGTTCGGGGGCGTTCAATGTTTCCCGGGCTCGTTTGAGTCCTCTTTTATACGAAAGAAACCGTTTACCCCCAAAGCCCTAGAAATACCTGTCTTCTATTCGTGCCATTCGTCCACCCTTATCCTCCGGTAACAGTATCTGTCTCCCCCTTGTCGACCGGGAATACCAATCCTCCGCACATGCTTAAATCCACATCCCCAACGCTAGAGTAACCGGACATCCGAACGAGAAAAAGCGACATGAACAATGCACGGATTCCAGCAATGAACTCCGTTGATTGTTACTGCAGCCGAGCGGTGATATATGAGCCTCCCCTGTATGGTTCGGCAGGGGGGGGGGAACCACCGAACCTACGCCATGAGAGACCACTTCACAGGTAACTTTAGAATTTGACCCAGTATCATGCTCGAAACATTCCTGATATCTTTGTTTCGAGCTTTCTAGTCCAAAACATGGCACTCAGCCTGTGCGTTAGCTGAGCTCGCCTTTTGACCGTTATTTCCCGACACATTCGTCGTCGGATCCGGAACTCGGGCCCTGGTGGCCAGCCTATCGTTCCACCGCCCCCAAGTATTTGCAACATATTGAATACGGAAGCTTCAAGGTTCGAGCGGCACAAAGCCCTTTGCCATTGGGGGAGTTACCGGAACGGAATTCTAAGGCGGCAGATGGACATTAGTTCGGGTTTGTTCTGATAGGCAGGGAAGGGGTGAAAACCATGATACTGCTATAGCTTTAGGGGCAGAGAGATGTCTACTAGCACTGGCGGACTTGTGCCCGAAACAAACATGGAGGATCAGGAGAGGCGGAATGATTTGAAAGGGGGTTTATTGTGAAGAGTGAATAGCCGATTCCTAGTGTCATTGAGCTTACTCCGGATAGCCCGTCCCAATATTAGCTTTTTGAGATCCTTTCCCCCAGGCAACGGGTGATTTACTTTCTCCTACCGAGTGACAGAAAATGATCGATACCGGTGTGGAGGGGGCACAGGTGTACCATACAGTACTGGCTTGTTGCAGCGTTTTGTGGTGCATCTCACCCTCAACAAGTACTCGCGCGGCCGAGTTGAAGCCGGGCACCTTATTTCGGAAGTGATTGACGAATGGATACCATGCCTATTCCGGACCTACTTAATAGGTCATATATCCGTTACAGATAGAGCTTCAACATGATAAGAAGCACGCATATTTACAACCTCACTGTTGCCTTATTGGAGCTAACACAGCTGACAAGGAGGTCTATTCTCTAGCTATCCATTGAAATTATTATTGCCATTGTGAAGAATAACTCTCTGGAGTTTTTCATGAAACGCATGACACTTGTTATCAATAACCTCCTGTGGCAACTATTCCCAAGTACTAATTAAAATATCTTTTGCCCCATTTACAGCATGCTGGCTCGCTCCAACAAAGTTCCATGTAGAGATCTCGTCTTTTTGGTAGCTCCAGATTGATTCAATCTGATTTAAATCTGGAGACTTCGAGGGCCAATCAAGAGTTACAATGCCATGCAACTTTCTCTCCTCCTTGTCAACTCTTCGTGCTGTTTGATGGCTAGGGGCATTATCTTCAACGAGATAAAGGTGTGGAACTCCTAGCCGCTCTCTCACAGATACCATCCAGGGGTAGAGCTTTGGACGTAATACTCTCTCCCGGTAAGAGACCCAATTTATTCCACCTTTGCTAGTGAAATCTAGGGGAGGTTCACGGAACATCTGCTCTGGGGGTCTCCGTTTCCGCTTATGCCGTCCAGTTCGACCTTCGGCTAGGTTAAGTTCGTCGATATTGTTGTTGAAAGAAGTGAGCTCTTCGTGCTGCCATGTACCGGGAAGCTGGGCTTGTTGTTGATTTACCTCCTGTCGTTCGAGCCGTATTCGATTGTCTTCATTGACAATTTGTTTGTAGCTTTCCTTTTCTTCTGCTGTATCAGGTTCCCAAACATGGTATGGACCTTTCATACCCAGGATAATGGCACCCCAGAACATAACACGGATTGGCTGCTTTTCATTATTTTTATCATGAATAGCATATTCATTTGCATCAACTCCGCGGTATCGTGAAACGTTTCGCTGCCGTCAGGGTTTGTTGAACTCTACCCACATTTCATCGGTGAAAACAATCGTATTGACTGCAATCTGTAGGGCCATATGAGCGAAGGCCAAGCGGGCTTCCATGTGATCTGCGGTGAGACTTGGCTTGTGGACAGGCTTTCGGCGGAAGATATTGTGCTGACTATGAAAGATTTGCTCCAAGGTAGAACGGGCAGCAGGTATTCCCAGCTCACGGGCAATCTCTGGGAATGTCCGTTGCCAATGCTCTTCATCTTTCTGGCTCAGGTCTCGAAGTGTAATGACCCTACGTTATAGAGCTATGGCAACCTAAGTCTACGCCCATACATAAGACCTAGAGGTTATATGGTAGACTAGGCGGGCATGTCTGAGCATGTCCGGGAGATACTCGATGGTCCGGGTATCTCGAAGAACAGAAGGTACTTTAGAAATAGGTGTATCTAAGTAGTGGAAGTGACGTGACCACATCGGCTTCGTCCTAAGGATAGGTCGGAAGGCCGGGTGAGTTTACCCTGTCTAGGTAAGTCATGTTACCCTACCATGGAGACCAGTTTCGTGTCAGCATGGACACACTTACCCTACCTGTGGGACACTATTACCCTACCTTCCGTCGGAAACGTTCTCGGAAAGACTCCGTGTAATGTCAGGATTGTTTGTTACGCAATAACGATCGACGGGCACTTGCTTGCACATTGATCGGAAGACTACAGGAGGAGCTAGAGTGCTCCGAACATGCCGTAACTTGGCAGGACTATTCCTAACAGGTACCTGCGGCCCCAGGGTTCGCCCCGGGCGTCATAGGTCTAAATGGGTAGAGTTGCCGTATTTCTAGTTAAATGGAATCAATGAAGACATGTCCATAACACTGTATACGTCGCTGCCATCCGTCCGACCGGAAGCTGTTCGCAGGATATATAAGGGGGCAAGATGAGAAGGTCAGGTACCTTCTCCAAAAGGAACGGAGTAAAACGGACCATAACTGACGGAGTTAGCTTGAGCTATCCGGAAGGGTCCCTCGAGCAGTCCCGGGTAGTGCCGGAGACATCGAGGAAGGTTTTATGCCAATCAAGCCTACACGTGCCCCTTTGCCGTAGGCTCTTTATGGGTTGTTGGAAGACTCTAATAGCATGATACTTATCACTCTGAGTGGTGTGCCGGAGGTAAGGGACCATGGGTAGCGCCCACGGGTCCCGCCACCGACACAGCTCTACGTGGGAGCGTCGTAGACCCCGTAAGTTCGCAATCAAGAAAGATAGAACTTAACCAGAGAACACCTGATGTCTACGGGTGCTTGCATAGATCATAGCACATGGGTAGAGAGTCATTTAGTTAGGCTTCCTAGGAGTCTCGACAGTTAGCCACTGGCGAGACACCGATGCGCAGAGTTTTCGCTCCGGCAGGTGTATTGGTAAACACCTCGCAGGAACTGACGTGCATATGGGAGAATTCTGCTAGAGTGTGCTGACACCTAAGCCCTTCGGGGATGCGGTAATGGTGTCGGCAACCCTTACGGAGAAGGGTATGCTCATGTTGGTCGGGACAACCTGATGGGGGAGTTTTTGGTATAAGTCTGACTACTTGAAGCTTATACGAGAACTCTCCTGCCCCGACACAATCAACATCCTCTCGAGAGACTTTAATTGAGATAAGCCTGAGCTTAACGATATTAAGTTTTACCGTTACTTTTATTCTTTACAATTTTGCAAGAGCTTTTGTTCGAGAGATTCGAAGTTTGGTGCGGTCGTATCCTTGGGATCCATCTTCCTGAGGGAGCCCCCGTTACACGAAGAGCGATCGATTCTGCTGAACCCATGGGATATTTGTCGGGGTTTCCACCACCATGACTGCTTGACAAACAGCCCAATACATCGTCGAAGTCCTCTGGATCAGCTGCCCGAGCCTTTTCTAAAGTTAGTAATCTTTCCGATCTCTTTGTATTTTGCAAACAGTTTTCACACCTTCGCTTTTCTTAAAATGTCCTCAACCGTTGACTTTTTGAGTCCGAGTTTGGCAGCAACTTTGTGTGGAGACATGTTCGCATGCCAATTTAGTGTAAGTATCGCAGCTCTTTTGAGCAGAGGAATCCTTGGAGCACTTCCAGCTCCCCCAAAGTGTGTGGCCGGCATACTAAAGAGAATAGATTGAAAGATGTTTGAAGGACTGCTACAAACACTCGAAGTACCGAACAGTATTATCTGTACTTATGCAGCGCAGAGCCAGCTACTTTACACGGTATATCAGAATTACGTCACAGATCTTGGCACTCCGCTACCTGCTTCCTATTTGTTCGTCAATCACTTCCGAAATAAGGTGCCCGGCTTCAACTCGGCCGCGCGAGTAGAATTTCCTGCTTTTGCAGGTGGGTTGTCATGCTGGATTTTTAGACATGAGCAACCACCGCCACCCGATAGATTAAAGGGCGACTGTCATTTCTAAATCTACATCAACTGGGTGTCGCTTTTTCATTTTTTACCTCTTTGTTCGCGGTCACAATACACAGTCGTCGGCCCAGTCTATTTTTCTTCATCTTATCGTCCGGTATACCACGAGGTAAAGCCTTTCCCTTCTGCTCGCAAGATCACGGCGTGGCGGACCCATCCGATAAAGGAAGCTATTGAGAACCCTTCCACACCAGTCCAGTACGGCGCCTGATCCACAGGGTTAGGTTTTCCATCGAGTCCGCCTTGGTAGCCCTCGTCATCCGGGTAACTGAACTTCACAACTGTCCTCTTCAAAAAGCCACACAACACAAACTAACACGGTAGATACACTCGCTAGTTTGCTCATGCTGATGCCTCGAGGACTCAACAATGGCTCAATCCCTCAAGAACCTAAAACAAGACTTCGTTTCGAACCTTACCGGCGGGACAATCAACGAAATAAACGTCGTGACAGCGGTTGTGCCGGTGACCTTCCCCTGCAACGGCCCCCAATAACCTATGTCTTTGGGCTAATAGCAGCTATTTAGTTTACAGGCAACCTATATCCTCTATGCTGCACTGCAAACACGATTAGGATTTTTTAAATCTTATGGGCCGCTACAGCTCGTCGCAGACATCTTACTCAGCGCTGTAGCGATACTATTTTCTACAACATTATACTCGTCCTTCCCGCTGTTACTGATCCTACTTATCGTATCCCCAGCAATCCTATTACACCTCGACCAACCGCGAAACTCGAAGCGCCCGGCAAAGCCCAAACCTCAAGATGTCGAGAAGAAAACCAACTCGGCGCCAGAATTTCCGAAAAAGCCGTTCTTAACGGTGTATAGAGGAGGCATGATGGTAGTCACATGTTGCGCGATCTTAGCAGTAGACTTTAGGGTCTTCCCGCGAAGGTTCGCAAAGGTGGAGAATTGGGGCACTTCGTTGATGGATATTGGTGTTGGATCATTTGTCTTCTCTGGTGGGATGATGAGCGCGAAGTCGGTTATTAAAGGCTACCTGGTGAAGTGTGCCTCGGAATCATTAGGAGCGAGGCTGAAGGGCGCTATGAGAACGTCGTTGCCGTTGCTAGTACTGGGGATTGTTCGGTTGATTATGATCAAGGGTGTGGATTACGCCGAACACGTTACCGAGTACGGAGTTCATTGGAACTTCTTTTTTACGCTCGGGTTTTTGCCGTTATTGTTGGCTATCTTACAGTCCGTTTCGCCCATGGCTTCCAGAATGGGGATTAGCCCTACTCTTGTGTATACCCTCCTGAGTCTGGTGACTGCGGTTGGTTATCAAGTTGTTCTTGAAACGACAGGGTTGAAGGCATTTGTCCTTATCGGAGACAGGAACAAATACGGCTTGATATCACAGAACAAGGAAGGGATCAGCAGTTTCGCTGGGTACCTCTCCATCTTCCTGGCAGGGATGGCCACCGGGATGTATACCCTCCCCCGAGACACCCGATCTCAGCGTTTTGGACTTTTGAAAAAGCTCGGGGGGTGGAGTCTCTTTTGGACGACGTTGTTCATAATCACTAAAGAGCGCTGGGGCTTCGATCTTGCCGTCTCTAGACGTTTAGCAAACCTCCCATATATCCTCTGGGTTGCCTCCTTCAACACCGCACAAGTCACGGTGTTCTACCTCATTGAGAGAGCATATTTCCGCGGGGCTGAATATAGCGACGCTGTGCCTAGGGTTTTAGAAGCATTCAACAGGAATGGGCTAGCAATTTTCATGGTGGTGAGTTACCCTTGCAGGTCTATGGATTGATGGGATTCTCATAGTTTGCAGGCGAATATTTTTACGGGATTAGTTAATCTTTCGATTAATACCTTGGAGTATGGGAGGATACCGGCTATGGGGGTGCTTACTTCTTACATACTTGTGTTGACGTTGTTGGCGGTGGGGTTGGATCGCAAAAACATCAGCATTAAGTTATAGCTTAAGTTAGATGTACTTCAGAATATGATATCCTTGCCCCTATTCTGACCGACCGATAGAAGTTAAAATGCTAGACTTTTCTGTTTGCCTATTGCTAGCAGTTAGAGTTAACTTCAACGGCGCAAAAATGCATTTTCAGATGGCCTGGGTGCTAAGATCGGGGATAGGGTTGGACCTTAAGCGCGAATTGTCATTGGTTGCCTTAAGCTCGTTAGATACTAGAATCTAGTTCCTTGAGGTCAGCGGATCCCCAGGTTATTAATTACCCGAAATTCTACACGTTGACTGTGCCGTCCCTGGATGTGTATGCCGCACGCAACACTGCGGAAGAGCAGAGTTGAATACGCGGCCTTAGAATCTGGTACGCGAGACTTCGGTTGCTAGAAATGGGTCAACAATGGCCCACTGATGGCACCCATAGTGTCGATTAAAGCTCCTAGTAGAGAGTCCCTAAGCGGGAAATACTATACTAAATGGGGGAAATATCAGAAATCTCACTTCTGAGATGCCTAAGGTGTCATTCGTTGTTGGCGGCTGGCGGAGGTTGCTGGTGGATGTTCGCCCGCTGTGGCTGCTTCTATCATACCCCATCCGAATTTATGGAGTGGGACTCATGCCCTAACCTTTCCCATTCCTTAGCTTCCGGGGCCACATAAATTCAATCTATCATACTGTGGATAATTGGGGGGGTTAGTCGCTTGGACGGCAGTGAGGGTGGGAGTGTGAGTAACTTGATTATTCGCCCTGGGGAACCTTTCCGCCATGCTAACTTATCTCAGAATGGGGTGCGATCGTACTCGAAATACAATTTCGTCCGGTATCAATCAAAGACAAAACTCATTTGATAGTGCTTATGAGAGTTTTTGGGTGAGCAGAGGGTGGCTGGCGTAACTGTCATGGTAATCGCGGCATTCCTGGCCGCTAAAGTAACGGCTTGATTCCGGGAAATAGCTGGACCGTTTCAACTCACCTGTCTTATGCCTTGGATGGATTTCTGGGTATACTATTGGAAACCGGTATGGCCAAGTAAGGCGTGGGGGCATAGAGGATCTGCGGCAACCTGCCGGAGGTCTAATTTTTTTATCATACAGCTTTCCCTGCTAATTTCTACCGGTTTATTCGAGCTTCCGGACAACACATCAGTTGTGGTGCTAATTCGCTCTCAAGTCCATCTAAAGTTATAGAAATATCAATTCTTTAGTGCGATCTTAGTCTGTTGGCGAATATGGAACTGCGGTGTTCTAAGGCCCGGTTTCAAAAAGTAGGATCCGTGTCTAGAAAATGATCGTGGGGATCTGCACTAACGATGTGGGGTGGAGGGAGAGAACCTGGATCGCACGTACTACACGCAGAGAGGAGGAACGCTTTCCCTCTGGATCCCTGATCCAAAGTTTCTCAATGAATCAGCTGACTCCGCTGGATGGGGTACCCCTTTACCTCCCCTTTGCAATTGCGTTCTTCGTGGGAAGATGTCAGTGAAAGATCCGGACGAATCGCGCCGGGAAAACTCAACAAAAAGAAAAAGTATTCAAATATCACGATTTCCACACGGAAATCAAGAAAAACATTGCTCGCACCAGAACGAAGCTGAGCTGCTCTGCACGCGCCGCCGCCGTGGGAACTATGAGCGATCCCATCTGTGCTAGCACTGCAAATACAGCAGGGGTTTATTATATACTCGAGTAGTTAGTCTGGATCAATTGTGGTATGGTGCCGGCACCTTAGAATCGACACTCAGTGCCATCCGGGTCCGGGAACTAGTCCTAATGTAGTAACTGACCATACTGCTTTAGGCAATGTGTTGGTGTATTACTCAGCAAAAACCTGCTTTTCACACACAAGTGCCAACCTCCTTGCTCCACCCAAATTTTGCCTCAACTTTAAAAGCTGTTATAGAAAGAACCACACCCCTTGAGTGAAATCTGCTCTGTAAATGTGTTCTTTATATGTTTTAGGAGGATTATACAGAAGGAATAAGTAAAATAATGATATATGACATTGTTGTTGCCAGCCGAAAGTTGGGGAAGTTCGGTTGTCGTGAGGGTTGATTCTAAGGTGCCGGCACCATACAGGCCCCTCCCCGCAAACCCCCCTAATTACCGACCGCATCGGGAAGTCCCCGGGGTAACACGGGCTACGCTTCCTGCATGAGGTTTATCCAATAGTTCTAATGCTATGATACTACCGATCCAGAAATCGGGAAATAGATTTTTTGTTATTACGGGAGAATTGTTTCTCCGTTGTCGAGGAATAAGGGTAAACCCTTGCCGGGCTAAATTCCCGCTATAGTAAGATTTATTATGGGGTCAAAGAGTGAGCCACGGTGTATGAGTAGTGAGTATGGCGGTGGGGTTTGGGAACTGTTCAATATCCTTGATAGTTCGAGAGAGATGACTCTCCAAAGCCACGCCGGAGAGTACGGTGGTGCGGCGCCGGAGGGGGGGGGGGTTTGGCACCGTATCATGGATGTTAAGTTCATTGAAAGTCACTCGAGCAAGTCGATAATGGCAGAAGGCCAATTGAGCCGGCGGAAAATTCTCCATCGAAATGATCCAACAGGACCTCAGGGCTTGGATATACAGGACCGGATACTTTCTCTGCCTCTCGCGATCCACCACACTGAACTGGCAAGAGCTGCCAATGGGTCGTCACAGTGTTCACGGCACCAGGTTTCCCAGGGTCTAACTTTTTTCTGCCTTCCCATAGCGACCAGGTTATGGGAGGCTTAATGTGTTTAGCCTCGTAAAATACAAGAATCTACTCACCACAGAAGTGAATTTTTTGCCCAGCTCGGGGCATGGTATGCTGGCCTTTAACATGCGATCACGAAGAACGAGGGCATGGGCGAATAAGGCGCTCGGTAGGCCTTCTGCCGTCACTTTTAAGGTCCAGTGCCATAACTTTGGCAGGAGGATGCTTAGAGCACCACATGGAGGATATCCTTCGTGTAGCCCTGTTTTGTGGGGGGCCTGGGGTCCAGCAGGCGAGGGGCAGAGCCGCGGCAAGTATCCGCGGGGAACGCCGTCGGGGAGTTGTTCAAAACCTAGTATCGCTTGCCTGGTTTCTGGCGGCAATGGCCATCTCAATATACAAAGCCTTCGGGGACCTTGGGGAGAACTCAACTGCTCACAACCTTGTACTGGGTCTGCTAGTCTGCTGGCTCCCGGTTCTCGTCGCCGCGGCAATCGTTGACAGAAACCAAATGGGCTCCCACTACGTCCGCACCAAGCTGAACATTTTTCTGCGGAAAACAGTGAAGATAGCGCTCATCCCGAACGCATTTCCGGGGGTGAGGGAGCCAAACTTCTTCAGAGGGTTTGCTGGCCAAGCGCGAGTCTGGTGGCATTCCGGTGCGGCTCACTCAATCCTCCAAACAATGGAGGCTACACTCGATATGAGGCGAGATTGGTTAGCGAGATACCCGAACACCGACGAAATATTAGCCATGAGAACCCACTCTGGCCTCTTGATATTCGACAAGAGCCAAGGATGGCAGATCGCAGCTGCCATCATGATTGTCTTCTCCTGCAGCATTGGCGCCCTTATCGTCAGATATTTCACATCCGCGCTGCCGCTCCGGAGGGTACATGATCTTCGGTCTCAACGCATTCTGCCTGCTCGCCGAAATGACCGCATGGGTATTCATGAACCCGGGACCGCAACGGACGGTAGCACAGTGGTTCTTACGCTTCTGCGAATTCACAAGCTCTTGCTGGCTTGTGTGCATTATCATGCTGCAGACTTTCGGTATCTACAATAGCTGCTATTGCAAGTCGAGCACGTGGGGTGGCGGAGGAGGGTACGTGGAATTTGAGGATGTGCAATACTGCGAGTCACACAACATCGAGATCAGTTGGTTACTTGGTGCACTTATCACATGCGTGGTCTCATTTTTGGTCTTCTGTATGTTGTTGAGCAGTGGTGCACACAGAGATTCCTATGGACACAAAACTGGGACTCGGCCATGAATGGACTCTAGAGAGTGAGGAAGTAGAAGCAAGCAACTGCCGTGCCTAGGTCCTTCGGAGCGCCGACAAATAAGAAGACTCCGTTTTTCCAGAAAATGTACTAGGAAATCGCAGGCCAAAAAAACTGTGGTTATTCCGCTTTCATCGTGAGGGACATCAATAACCGTGCCAAGGTCCCCACCCTTCGAAGGACGCTAAGCGGCCTCCAAAGTAGGTGGCACTCCAAGGGAGTGCCTAACAGTTCAATGATAGTAACAGTTCAATGATAGAATAATCACCAGACTATCCCTCTTCGTGAATCTTGCAATTTGATCGATCCTAAGCCTACCATGTCCAATGAAAAATACTTTGCCAAAGAGGCCCAAATCCAGCATGCCATCGACAAAGTTTTCAACAAAGAAAAACTGAATTTCGCTGCACTTGCTTGCAAGTATGACGTTCCAGAGCAGCAATTGCGTGAACGCTGGAAAGGACGCCAGTCACAGCAGCAAAGAGAGTCACCAAACCGGAAGCTCACACCAGATCAGGAATTTGGTCTCTGTTAATACCTGAATAGACTGGATGAGATTGGAATTCCCGCCCGCCGTTCTCACCATATCACTTCCTATGTAAACTCAGTACTAGCATCGATGCATAGTGATTCTTCTAAACCACCCCCGGTTGTGAGCAGCATGTGGACTCGTTGCTTCCTCACACGTCATCCAGAATACATGGTATGGAAGCAAAAGTCACTTGATGTTGATCGGAAACAGTCTCATGACCACGATAGTCTAAAGGACTGGTTTCAGCAGTTTCAAAGAATTAAAGAAGAGAAGGGAGCGCAGGATACAGATACCTACAACTTCGACGAGACAGGATTCCGGATTGGAATCGGCTGTGACCAATGGGTGGTCACTCGGGAGTCTCAACGGCCATTATTTTTAGCAAGCTCTAGTAATAGAGAATTAGTAACTGTTGTTGAGTGTGTGAGTAGAGATGGTGTGGTACTTCCTCCTATGCTTATCGTTCTGGGCGCGATGCATGTGGAGGATTGGTACATAAAGACTGATATGCCAGATGACTTTTTTGTTGGTATTTCTAAGACTGGATATACCAATGACAGATTGGCATTTGATTGGGTTCAGCATTTTGAAAGATTTTCTGCGCACCAACAAGTAGGAGCATGGTGGATGCTTTTGCTCGATGGTCACAATTCGCACTCTACACAGCAGTTCATTACCTTTTGTAATGAGCATAAGATTATTCTCTTTTGTCTACCATCTCACTGCACGCATCTCCTACAGCCACTCGATATTGTTGTCTTCCAACCCTACAAACATTACCATGTGGAAGCACTTGATGCCGCTACAAGAACTGGGTATTTAGAATTCAACAAATTTGAACTTTTTTCAGCTCTCAAGTCTATCCGTACCCAAACCTTTAAGCCTTCAACAATTCTTTCTTCCTTTAAAAAGACAGGACTTGCCCTATTCAATCTCAGTATTGTTTTAGACAAGCTCCCAGAGAGTCAGGAGGGAGATACACAACAAATTCGAATACCATCTCCAGGTCCTGGGCCTGCAGATATGCTATCAATACCAAGAACGTGTTAAGAATCCTAACAGGTGTAGGGGTGCGACAGGTAACTATACTTATCTTGAGGCGAGGTAATAGTTCTTAGGCCGATGCCTACGCGATAGCGATAGTCCACTCCTTTGACTTCTATCTGATCGTGCCTATTCCTCTAATCTTCTTAAGTCCTTACTCGGGACTTCTTTATTCGTCGTGGGATGAGAAATAGTTTTCCCGCTTGGGAGGAAAGACACTTCTCGGGTTTCTTAAGATAAATCTTAAAGAACGTAAAGGTAGGTTTTATTGTAATAACTTAAAGGTAGGAAATAAACAAGAAGAACGTGTAAAGAGCTCATACCTGGAGTCCTATCGACCCCTTTATATATTCGCTCTTCACCTCGTGTGACTCATACCTTGCGTCACGCGAACCCTGTGACTCATAACTATGAGTCATGTAAAATCCATCAGACGACTCCTATGAGTCGCTGCGCAACATGCCTAAAACCAATTAAAACATCATAACCTAGTCAGGTGCGCAACTCGCGTTACCTGAGTGAAACCCATGACTCATAATTATGAGTCATGTGCGAAAATCATAACCTCATGTGACTCACAACTGTGAGTCACGAACAGCTGAACATAATAACCTATAATGCGCTATTGCGCATTATGTGCAACCTCTTTATACCTATAACTTGGAATTCCGAGTTATGGGAAATCTGCCTCTTCTTAGTCACAGTTTGTGACATTAGTTCCCCTCTCCCTCAGCCCGAGTCCCATCGGGCTTATAGTAATCTTTCCTCCAATCTCCAAGCCCTTTCGGCTGGGAGCCCCCACTTCTTTTCCTTGTTTAGCCATGCATTGACCTTTTCAATCCTTGCTAAGGTTCGGCGGGCCTCCTTTTCTTCCTTCCTCCAGTCGTTCTGGAGGGCCTTCCTCATCCTCCTCTCTTCCTGTAACTCCTTCTTGAGTCCTTCGATCCTGTCAGACTGGTATTCCAGCAATTTGCTGGTTTCCATTTTTTCTGCCAACCACTTCATTTTTATCACGCTTGCTGTTTCCGAGACCTCCGATTCTTGCGTCTTCCTCATCTCGTCTTCCCAGGAGACCTGTCTTCTCCTGGGTTTTGCCCATCTCGGTTTTTTCGCCCCCCTCCTCCTTGGCTCCGTCCTCGGAGTCGGTTCAATGTATTGCACCAATGCCACTGGTGACGGGGATCTTGCAGGTGATCCCAGGGGCGAGGTCTTGGGTGGCCATCTGTTCATTTCCCGTGGCCAATATCCCGAGCCCTCCTTCTCTGTGTAGTGCACTTGGTACTCGTCGTCGTAGCAACCTGTTCATGACAGGTTCGTGTGTTCCCTTTCCTTCGTGGATGTTTTTTGGATCGGTAGATCCATTAGGTTTGTCCATTCCTCGGCTGTGTACTCCTTCTTGATCGGAGTACTCGGTTCCCTTGTCGGTGTTGGGGTCTTGTACCCTGGACTGGTCGGCGTAATGTGTTTGAATGCATCGCTTTCCGGAACGTTCTGTAGTGCCGATGGTATCGGCAATTGTTGATAGTGGGTCTGGGTCTGGTCCCAGTGGTAGGAATCGGTTCTGTGTAGGGTCGGGGCCGAGTGCTCTGATTCTGGCACGTCTTCGACGTTCGGTTGTCGGCTTGCTTGGATATCGTTCGTGGAAATGGTGGACTGCATTTTGCGCGTTTTTGAAGTTTGCGGGGTACCAGGTTTTGTCGTGTTCTGGTGAATATCGTGTCCACTTGGCTCAGTATTGCAAGCTGCCGTAGTATAATCGAGAGTCGATTATTTCTTCAAGTTCGTATTCCGATTCCCCGTTTATTTCGATGGGTGGTGGTGGAAGTTTTTCTTGTGATGGTAGAGGGTTATCTTGATAGGGTTCGAGGAGGCTGATATGGAAGGTATTGTGTATTTTCATTGATGGTGGGAGTTGGAGCTTATAAGCGCGACTTCCTATTTTTGCCAAGATTTTGAATGGTCCTATCTTCTTGTAGTCCAATTTCTTGGTTGGTCTCGTGGTCCTGATATTGCGTGGTAGCAACCAAACCTTGTCTCCTGACTTTAGGTTTGGATCGGGTTTCCGGTGACGATCGTATTCTTTCTTTGGTCGCAGCTGTGCTGTTACCATTTCTGTCCGTAATATGTCGTGTAATTGGCTCATGTCTTTTTTATCCGTTATTTTTCCTTTGAGCATATGACCTATGGTCTCGTGTTCTGGATGTAGGCCGTAATTTGCATAGAAGGGTGTCGTCTTGATTGTTTCTTGATTTCTGTTATTGTATGTGAATTCTGCCGTGGGTAACCATTCGCACCAATCATCCTGTTGATAATTGACGTATGCTCGAAGGTATTGTTCTATTATGCCGTTTATCCGTTCGGTTTGTTCATCTGTTTGGGGGTGGAAGGCTGTGCTCAGACATCTTTCGATCCCCAATTTTTCTGTTATTTCCTTCCACACCTCGGATGTGAATAGTGATCCTCTGTCGCTGATGATGTCCTTTGGCAATCCATGTAGTCGGTAAATTTCTTTTAAAAACAGGATGGCGAACTGCCGTGCCGTGATATCCATTCTGCATGGTATAAAGTGACTCATTTTGGTCAGACGATCTACTACCACTAGTATGGCGTTTTGATCATTTGACTTGGGTAGGTCCGTAATGAAATCTAGGGATATCGATTTCCATGGTTTCTCTGGTGTTTCGTTGGATTTGAGTAATCCATAAGGTGCGTGTCGTACCACTTTGGTCTATTGACACATGTCGCAATTTTTGACATATCATTTGATGTCTTCCCTTATCTTTGGCCAATAGTATCGTCTATTAATGCACTCGGTAGTTTTGGCTGTTCCTCCATGTCCCGCGTATGGGGTGTCGTGATGGTGTCGTATGATTTCGGTACGTAATTCTTCTTTATCCGGTATCCAGATTTTTCCGTCATACTATAAGTAATCGTCTTTCCATTGACACAATCCTAAGGCGACTCCTTTGGTTTCCTTTATTCCTTGTGCCAGTCTTTCTTTTATTTCTCTGATGTCCTTGTCCTGTGAGCTTTCCTTCCTGATATCTTCTTCCAATGTCGTTCGAGTGTTTATCTCGTTCAGAGATTCGTATCCACTGTCTTCATCCTCTGGTTGGAAATATTTTTCTTTTGGTAAGAGTATGTGTTGTTTTTGTTTGATCCTTTCATCTTTGGGGTCCTTTGGTCGATCCGTTGATCCTCTTGTTAATGCGTCGGGTTTTCCTCCTTCTTTTCCTGGACGGTATTCGATTTTGAAGTTGTAAGTGCTGAGCTTTTCCATCCATCGTATCTGTCGTCTGTTTAACTCCTTCGTTGTCATGAAAGGTACTAAGTTTTTGTGGTCCGTGAGTATCTTGACCAGAGCTTGATTGTTTTGTGCATATCTCCTCCATTCCTTCAGCGCTTGAACTATTACTAATAGT